CCGGACATGTCCGGGAAAAAGAGGACGTATGGTAACCCTATTGGTTCCTCAAGAACTCAGTTTGACTCCAGTCTTGTCACTCAGGTTCTTTTATTTGGCATACAGCAAAGCTACACTGTGTCGATTAGATTCAAGTGTAGAGGGTGGGTATAGAGCGTACCACACATCCAAAGTTACACAGCAAAACTTTACCTTACATCCATTTTTACTAACACTAATAACACATGCATTCTTAACTATACATTGTATCGTATGCTTCATGATTGGCTTGGTTATTTTTTAGGAACCAATCCCTGGACAGCATGCTCTGTCCATGTATAACCTGATTTTTACATTTCAGGTTTATCTTGTCCGTTGACCCAAGCTCCAGGGTGTTCCTGCTTATCTTAGCTAGCAACAGACATCCTGACTCCAGCATACTGCTTGTTAAGCCACTATTAACAACTTAACCTTTCATACCATGCTGAGGAAGAAATGAGGTCTTACTTATGTCAAGTTACTTATGCCCAGCCAGGCCTACAGAAAGTTGCCTTATAAGAGCAGCTAAGGGAAATCCCCATCTATAATCGGACTCCCCCATCATAGGGTGAGTGTTGGGGGATGATGGGGATTCTATTTCAGTGATCCTTGCCTAGCATAATAGCCCCGAGGGGATTGTTACAAGTTGCTAGAATTTAAAGTAGCCTGAATAGAGTTCTAGTGCAGCTGAGGATCTGGCCCTTTTTGTGGTGGTAAGAAAAATCCATATTTGGAAATATGCATAATTTCAATGCATAGTTGCTCACTCACATGTGGGAAATAAAAAGATGTATTAGTGGCAACATACATTTTTATCTGCAGAGAATATAGTATTCCATATTTATTATAATAATTAACAATGTGAGTAATTGCTCTATGTTGTATCATGAGTTTGTTTACAGACTAATGATAATCTTGATATTCTTAAAAGTAAGACTGAACTCAAGATTTAAGTATGTATTAAGTATGAGCAACACATGCCATCATAGGTAAATTAAATATATCATTGGCCATGTAAAGACTGCAGGAACAGGCCCTAAAAGTAAAAAGTGTAGTGCTTTAGCAGCTTCTGCTCATATAACTGCAGCAACTTAAACTAACAGTCTGAGCTCTAGTGGAAAAACATTTTTTTCAGAAACAAAACACTTTGTTCTTATGTTTTTAATTGAGTGATAGAAAAATACTTCTGTGTGGTCATTCTTGCTAAGAGAGTCAAACCCACAAAATTTTCCATTTTGCACTGTTTCTTTCTTTCTTGGCTAGAAGATGCCTTTATGAACTGGATTTATAAACTATTAGTCTGAGGGGATAAAATGTTTTCTAGAGAGGTTCATCCAGCAGTATACTAGAGCTTCAAGGAATGCCTCCTAACTATGTTTGTTTTTCAAAAGATAAAACCTGCTAGTTAATTGAAGCAGAGCCAAATTCACTGCAGGTAATACTTTGGGGAAATCAATAGTATTACTCCAGAGATTAGTTTGGCCCGTAGTTTTTGGAATATGTCTTATTGTGGTCTCTCGAAATAAGGTTGTTTATAGGTAGACGTTACATGATTCTCAACTTTTTGTGTGGAAAAATTATGAAAAGAATAGACAATACAGTATTTTTACTAAGCCATTTGAGAACACATCTCTGGCTATGCATTCAGGACTAAATAAGGAGCAAGTTCTGTACTAAAAATAGAAACTGAGGTTGGTCCAGCTGCAGCATGAGTTGTAATCCTTGTAGATTTAAGGGGGGGATGGTTGGTTCATGTGAGGACATCCTAATATGGAGACCCAAAATCACCTTTTTCTTGTTCCTAGAAGGCCCTCATATCCTACCTGATATCTTACACTTTGCTGCCTGTTAGCAGAATTGTAACTAATTACTACAGCAGTTTGTTTGATCTATTACTTCACAGATAGAAAAATATTTTTTAAGATTTTAGGGAAAATTATGGCTTGTTTTATGTAGGCTTGCTTGTGTGGAGGACATGGGGAAAAGGGCAGAGAGAGACTTACTGGTACCTTCACAAGAATGCAGAATATGTACCTGCCACTCCCTTGAACATTATGCTAGCATGCCTGCCAATACTCCAGGTATCCAAGAGGGCATAGTCAGCCAACTGGGATGTTTGGCCAGGTCTTTAACTTTAACCCTCTCCACAAATGCTGCTATTGGCAGCAGGCACAACGGAATTGGTGATGCTCCTCCTTTTGGGAACAGCCATAAGGAGCACTGCAGAATGCATTGCTTGTCCACTGATCTCCTAGCTGTCCTACCATGCTGTGTCAGCAGCATGATTCAGAGACTCTCAAATTACCTTGCCATATATTCCCCGATACTTATTGAATGGTTACTGTGTGCTGGTTCTGTTTGGGAAACATAACCATTAAATGTTTGGGTTATAATCAAGTCCCTGTGGACTCCAGTGCAGAGTAAGCTTGATCTAAATTTTGCGGCATTCCAGACTGGAGATGCTGCATTAGCTTCAGATAGTTCATTAAAATCTACATGTAAAAATGTAAGTATGTGAAAATGAATTCAATCAGAAGCGTGTCCCTGCCACTATTTTAATTTGATATTAAATTCAATTTTACACTGTTCCTACGTTTTTAATTTTCAGTGAGCTGCAGAATTTTATATTGAAAATAATATGTAACATGTATGTATTTTGACATGTTGATTACAGAATTTGTCAAGGGGAAACTGAAATTTTGGTAATGGAGTAGGGGACAGTTGGACAGGAGTGCCATTTGGGGAGGGCTGGGGCACCTGCCCCCCTTTCCGAGTTTCATAGCACATTTGGGTGAACTTTGCAGCAGGAGGAAAAATGCTGCCCTCCCCCACACCTCCCCGCTGCCCTGCTTTGCTGCCCTCTGCAGCTGTGCTGCTCCTGCCCCCTGCCATGGAGCCACCAGTGCTTCACTGCTTGGGACCAGGAGCCTGCCTCCTGATCTGCTGTGCAGATCTGGATGGGAGCTGATATTGGGGTGTCCCTCTATCTCTTCCTGTGTGCTCAGTCTCTACTAAGGTGGGGTGGGAGGGACCGAGAGCCTGTCTGTGCTGCTGCCTCTGGCTCAGGAGTGAGTGCTGCTGCTGTACTGAGCAAGCATTCAGGCTCCTGAGTGTTTGGCTTAAAGAGACAGCATGCTGACACACTCAGGCTGGGTCTACACTACCCGCCTGAATCGGCGGGTAGAAATCGACCTCTCGGGGATCGATTT